TTGGAAACCCAATGAGGGTTCTCTATGAGTTGGGACTGACTTGACAGCAGTGAGTTTTTTGTTTTGCTTAGTTGTTTGTTTTTAATCTTCCATTACAGTCATAAGTAATAATTCAGCTAATGCTTTGTGGGTTGGTAATTCATTATTATTGGATATATTCAACATTAATGAAGGATTCTATGGGGAAAATATTGAATGATACAGAAAGTGTTAAAAGAAGATGGAAAGAATACACAGAGTCATTTTACCAAAAGGAATTGATCAATGTTCAACCACTTCAGGAGGTTATTGAAACTGGTTTTGGAGACAAATGACTCAACAGAAAATTGTTTCTCCCTATATTTCCTTCTCAAGATGAAGTGAGTGGTATGGAGCTATATTTTGAACTGTTATAGATCTTGTGATTAAATTTAATGAATTTAAACCCTATTATTCCAAAGACAAAATTAGATTTTAGATTCTATTTAAATTGTAATACCTCATTCTCTGTGAAGCATTTGAATTCAATATCATATGTCACATAGAATGTCAGGGAACTATAACATTTACTCTCTTATTTTCTCCTATTGCAGTGACAATACTTTCTGAAGAACTTTACAGAGTGTTTACATAACACATCTGTATTATTTACATGTGAGGTTTTGCTGCCAGAAACATTGTTATTTAGTAACACTTTAATCTAGAGTCAATTCCTACAGGGCAGACAATTGCTAAAGACTCATTTTTTATTAAATGAACATGGATTCAGATATATTGGGATGAGTTCTAGACTTAGCACAGCTCAGTATTTTCTTATACAGCAAATATTTATTCAGAAAAAGCCTTTGAGATAATGTTTTGTGCCAAGTTGAAAAATGATTCCCCTGGCTGATGGGGATAGCACTTTGCATTTCCCCTCAACTGCAAGTAATCTTTCTCTGGAACCAGCAGGAAAAAATCACTCTACCTTGTCTTGGGCTTCTATTAATCAGTTCCACAGAACTAATATTTTAGAGGAGAACATCTTTATTTTTTCTCTTTTCAGGGAACCTTTTGTGATCAGGTGAAACCAAACCAACTTATTCCAGAAGAGTGTTTTAAAACAATACTTTTAATTTCAGAATATTTAAAGATGTAAATTAATTATTCTGCTATGTAATGATGGAGTTTCTAAGCTTTTTTTCTCAAACAAGAGAGAGAATTATCTTCCAGTTGTTACATCTTTCATAAACCTAAAAGAGAAAACCTTGATGAAATAGAAATATAAAATAGTCAGAAATGCCCTTAATAAGAAATATTAAGCATCTGTAGGAATAAAATGGTGAAGTCTTCGTGAAAGACTAAGTATTTTGAATGCATTCATTCCTCTCAAAGTTTCTGAGGCTGTAAATATTTACAGAATTAGATCTCCCCATCTGCCTTCCATGGAACAGCTGGTGGGTTTGAACCTCTGACCTTCTGGTTAGCAGTCAAGTGCCTTATCCACTATGCCACCAGAGTTCCTTAAAGTTACTTATAGTGTAATTCAATTCCTATCAAGATCTCAGCATTTTTATTTTATTTTATTTTTCTGAAGGAGACACTTTTTAAATGTATTATGAAGATCTTTTGGGGGGGAATGTGCATAAAAATCTCAACAAAAAAAGAAAAAGAAGGGCAAAGGAAGTAGCCATGTAATGATGCAATGCAAAAATTGTCAGAGTAGTATAAGTCACAATGCAACAGTGTTGTACAAATTCAGAAATGAACAAAGAAGCCTTGAAAAAAAAA